ATAATGGGATTTAGTTTTTAAGTTTTCAGGACCCTCCTGGATAATGGGATTTAATTTTCAAAGTTCTCAGGACCCTCCTGGATAATTGGATTTAGTTTTTAAATTCTCAGGACCCTCCTGGATATTGTGATTTAGTTTTTAAGTTTTTAGGACCCTCCTGGATAATGAGATTTAGTTTTTAAATTTTCAGGACCCTCCTGGATAATGGGATTTAATTTAAAATTCTCAGGACCCTCCTGGATAATGGGATTTAGTTTTTAAGTTCTCAGGACCCTCCTGGATAATGAGATTTAGTTTTTAAGTTTTTAGGACCCTCCTGGATAATGGAATTTAGTTTTTATGTTTTTAGGACCCTCCTGGATAATGGGATTTAATTTTAAAAGTTCTCAGGACCCTCCTGGATAATGGGATTTAGTTTTTAAGTTTTCAGAACCCTCTTGGATAATGAGATTTAATTTTAAAATTTCAGAGCCCTCCTGGATAATGGGATTTAATCTTAAAAATTCTCAGGACCCTCCCGGACAATGGGACATAGTTAAAATTCAAAACGTTCATGAGTAATAAGATCTAGCTAGGCTCTACCTTGAGGAAATATAAGTTTGGCTTTGAAGTTTTCATGCTTAGGATAAGATTCAATTTGAAATTTTAAGGACCCTCCTGAATAATGGGACTTAGTTTAATACCTCCCTTAGATGCTAAGATTTAGCATAAGTTTCACCGTTAGGAAGTTGAATTTAGCTCTGAAATTTTCACCCTTAAGATGAGATTTGATTTTAAATTTCAGGACCCTCCTGGATAATGAGATTTAGTTTTAAGGTCTTTATAGATAATAAGATTTAGTGGAAGTCGTACCTTTGGGAAAAATAACTTAGATTTAAAACTGTCATATAACTAGGAGTTTTCAGGACCCTCCTGGATAATGAGATTTAGCTTTCAAATTCATAGAGATAGTAGGTAGCATGATTCAATTAACACTCACAGATGCGCCCAGCATCAAACTGGGGCAGAAGTTTTCTTTGTTTTTGTCTATTTTGTGCAATCAGGGGCCCACCTAGAGAACAAGGGAATACATTTCAAAATTTAGCAATCAGGCGCCCACCTGGAGAACAAGGGAATATATTTCAAGATTTAGCAATCAGGCGCCCACCTGGAGAACAAGGGAATACATTTCAAGATTCAGTAATCAGGAGCCCACCTGGAGAACAAGGGAATACATTTCAAGTTCAGCAATCAGGCGCCCACCTGGAGAACAAGGGAATACATTTCAAGTTTTGGTAATCAGGCGCCCACCTGGAGAACAAGGGAATATATTTCAAGATTTAGCAATCAGGCGCCCACCTGGAGAACAAGGGAATACATTTCAAGATTCAGTAATCAGGAGCCCACCTGGAGAACAAGGGAATACATTTCAAGTTCAGCAATCAGGCGCCCACCTGGAGAACAAGGGAATACATTTCAAGTTTTGGTAATCAGGCGGACACCTGGAGAACAAGGGAATACATTTCAACTTTAGCAATCAGGCGCCCACCTGGAGAACAAGGGAATACATTTCAACATTCAGCAATCAGGCGCCCACCTGGAGAACAAGGAAATACATTTCAAGTTCAGCAATCAGGCGCCCACCTGGAGAACAAGGGAATACATTTCAAGCTTTGGTAATCAGGCGCCCACACAAGGGAATACAGAAAGTTACAGTAATCAGGCGCCCACCTGGAGAACAAGGAAAGACAGTTCAAGTTTCAAGGGAAAGTAGTTCCGAAGGACCACAATCTAAGATTTGGCAATCAGGCACCCACCTGGAAAACAAGGGAATTCACTTCAGAATGCAATTCAAGTCAGCAACAAAAGAAGCTCGCGACAGGAATGCTAGTCAACAGTCTGAGATGATCAACAGAAGTTAGTCACAATCTAGAATAATAAAAAAAAGGCAAGAAGTGAATCCAAATGCAAAAGTTGATGAAAGATGTGAGCTGCTCAAGACATGACCGAGGTCACAAGCACTACATGCCTGGTCTTGAACCGAAAATCTGAAGAAGGGGGAACTAGCACCTGCAACTAGCAAGCATCAAGGTTCAAATCTAAAGTCTGCATGAAGAACCACTCAAAATCAAGATCAAGCTTCAGAAGACTTATAGATAAGAATCTTGTAACTCGTAGTTGATAGGCTTAGCTAGTCTTTTTCATGTTTTGATTTTTGGTGTAACATTAGGACCGCGGGTCGGAACCTCGACGGAACGACACCTCGACTGACTCTCCACCTCGGCATACTCCATCATCTCACTCACCTCTAAACTACACGTGGCTTGATTCCTTTATCGCCAAGGATATGTAGGCAGCTCAGATACCAGGGCTCGGTCACATTCCCTTCTCTCTTAGTTTTGGTCTCTCTAAATAAGGGTCGGGTCAAAAAACCTATCTAGTCGTTCTTGGTCTGAAAATACTTCGTATTTTCAGTCAAAGAGGGGCAGCTGTAGACATGTGATTTTTGACCCTCCCCAAGATTTTTCATATTTTAGCACGTAAATATTTAATTTAAGCCTAATATAACTATTTCAACTATTTTTGACTTCTTTACTTTATTTCGTCATAAAAATAAAAAATTACAAAAAATACTTTAGTATGTATCTTTCATAATTCTTAAAAAATATACAAAAATAGTAACTTATTTTTATGTTTATATAATTTTGAAAATATAAAAAATATATAATAATTTCTTGTTAGCTTTTGCATTGTGTAGTATTTTTATCTTATTTTAAAATGAGTCAATTAAGGTGTTGGATCACAATTTAAAGAGTTTTTGGAGCCCAATTATTGGCCCAATTCGGATTAGTCCATTAAGCCTAGGGACTCTTCTAGACTCTTCTTTGGAACAAAAACAAATAAAAAGGACCCTAAGGATTTAACACAAAAGGACCTAGGGATTAATTGTCAAAATACACAAAATATACCTAAATCTAGACTCTACATATAAAGGGATGCTTAAAAAAAATCTGAAGGAGGCTAGCAACTAAAAACCTAGGGAAAAAGGCTGAAGGGGCGCAGTTTCTGAGAATGAAAAAAACGAAAAGACCTTGAACTCCATCTTCTTCATGAAGACACGAGAGACCTAGGAGCTAAGCAGTGCCATTGACGACCAAAAAACGACTTCCCGTTCTGCTTTCTTCTTCAGGTTCTAAACATACAGCCCCAAAATCGTTGGCTTCTTCTTAACAGAGACCTAGAACCAAAGGCTCGATCCCAACCATTTGCATGGAGTCTTGGAGCCTTCTTCTTCTTCTTCACTGAAACAACCTAAAAATACCTAAGAACCCTGACCATCAGCAGCCGTTACATAGAAAACCCCACCCCTCGGCTTTGTCTTCTTTACGAGACCTGAAGCTATGCCATTCCTCCTCAGTTGCTGAACGACCACCTGGCTCGATCTCTAGAACATCCACTAGGAGCTTCATCCGCTGGCTATCATCCATCACTGCTCCAGCTTCTTCCCGTCCATAACATCTCGTCGGAAACTCTAAAACACCATTTTTGTAAGCCTCCTGCACATTGTCTTCTTCAAGAAGAGGCAACCATGAGAGAACCTAGAACCTAGGATTCTAACAGCTGCACATCATCAAGAGAAGCAACCCAAAACCTGGAAGCCAAGCGAGGATTCAACAAAAATAGTAACTATAAGGGCGACTGTTTGATTAAAGAAGAAGAAGGAAAACATTTTCTGTTTTGTCTTGGTTTTTCGGATTCTGAACCTTCTTTTCTTATTTGTTTCTTAGTTCAGATATAAGAATTAGTTCTTATTTTGGTTCCTAGTTCTATGAGGTTTTTACAAACAAAAAAATTAATACAAAAGAAACCCATTTGATTCCTTCTGTTAAATTGGATTTCAACGATGGATTTGATCTGAAATATTTGATCCGGAATTCCGTTTGAAGTTTGAATCTGTCGACGAAGATGTTTCTGTTTCTTCATTGGGTTCTGATTTTTGGTTATTCGAGTATGGGAATGGAGTTTAGTCGAGGTTGATTCGAATTCATTACCGGTTTTAAATTTTCGGTGCCGATTTGGGTTCCCGTCTGCGGTTCGTCACATTTTTGAGTTCAAGACATTGAAACAATCAATTTTCCGGCTATATTGAGGTTCAACTCTTTCATCCTCTACTTGTTTTATGCAAGCTCTTATTAATTTTTTGTTTGGTGACGCGGCCCCGATATTTCTGTAATTATTCTCCGTGGTTTTGAATTTGCTTGCTCGATTATATATTCGGGTTTACTCGAATTGGTTATAGCTGAATGTGATTTTGTCACAGTATAAAAATTGGATTGCTGAACTATGTCAATTAATTTTCTTAAACTCGGGTGTGCATTTATGTGACCCAAATCCAAATCTCAACAACGTTATATAAAATGTGTCGCACACGATGTGATTCAAGATGCATTTTATGCGATGTTGAATCTTCCTAAAAATATGTGAATAAAAGTGGGTATAAAGTTAAAATTGAACCATAGGCTCAAACATTTTTTTTAAAATCAGATAATAGGCCAATTATAACATTTGAGCGACCGTGCTAGAACCACGAAACTCGAAAATGCCTAACACCTTCTCCCGGGTTAAACATAATTCCTTACCCAAATTTCTGTGTTCGCGGAATGTAATACAGAGTCAATCTTTTTCTCAATTCGGGATTTGAACCGGTGACTTGGGGACACCTTAAATTATCCTAAGTGGCGACTCTGAATCTTTTAATAAATAATCTCGTTTCGATTGTTACTTTAAGTTGGAAAAAACTCGCTTATATATACCCTTTCCGGGGGTGTAGGTAAAAAGGAGGTGTGACACTCACACTGCACTCCCATGGCCTCTCTACTTGATCCCTCAACAAAGTTGAAAGCCAGTGAAGGTACCTTACTTACAGACCCCACTCAATACAGAAAGCTGGTGGGAAAGCTGAACTTCCTCACCAACACACGACTTGATATTGCCTACAATGTCCAATATTTCAGCCATACATGCAAAGTCCTCGAGATTCTCATCTCAAAGCTGCCATGCATGTACTTAGATATTTGAAAGGTGATCCTGGTATGGGGATTTTTCTTTCGAACAGTGGAGATTATAGACTAAGAGCTTTTTGTGACTCAAATGGGGCAGCTTGCCCCAAGACTAGAAAATCAGTTAGCGGTTATATTGTATTACTTGGAGACAGTCCAATTAGTTGGAAATCGATGAAACAGTTCACTGTGACACTAAGCTCTGCAAAGGCAGGGTACAGATCTGCAAGAAAGGTAGTTGCAGAGCTTGTTTGGTTGTCTTAAGCTTTTGGAGGAACTAACTATACCCTTGAGTCTTCCCATTCCAGTATACTGTGATAATCAACCAGCCCTGCACATCGCCAGAAATTCAATGTTTCATGAACGAGCAAAATACATAGAGGTCGATTGCCATTTTGTAAGGGATAAGGTCGTTGAAGAATTAATCTCTCTACACTATGTCCATACAAACAATCAGCTTGTAGATATACTCACCAAATTCCTGACAGGCATCAAACATTCGTCACTGCTTCACAAGTTGGAAATGAGTACCTTCCTTCCAACTTTTGGGGGG